CGCATCTGGCCCTCCAGGAACTAATACGGGAAATAAAGTTGCTATAATTTGCATAGTCTTCAGTTCTGCCGATGTTTTGGCATTCGCAATATCAACTCACCACTCAGGATGACATGCACCCGTTGTCAGAAAGATGTTTCGGAGTCTGATCGTATCACTTTCCGTGGTTACCGTTGATGGAAACTCTGATAGAACATTCGCGCAATGTATTCTGGATGTGGGACTATTGCGCTGATCTGTTATCCAGTGACCATTTCCGGAGCATTATCCAGCGTACATCTGCCAAAAGTGCCGATGAGACATCAATCAATTCGCTAAAAGATGACATCACCCCAAGCTGCAGTGATGCAGCGATGCAGTTAGCGCACTTTCGGCCAAAGTTAACGCTAAGCCTCTAACACCGATGACCAAGCCAGGATTTAAAAAACGTTAATTGGTCAAACACCCCGAACACACCAAAACGAAAACGTGATGAGGACTCTACCACTCGCTTGGAACTTGGATAAGGACGCCTAACCGAAAGTGATTAAGCTGATCCCAAAACATAAAGACCTAACTGGCTTGAGTTTTGTATCGTTCAAAGTTGGAGTGAACAAAGCGCTTTCAAACTGTTCTTGGCCAGAAAATGTACCGTATGCGTGATAATGTTTGCACCATTGAGCCATGTCAAAATTAAAAAAAATCTCATAAATTTCGTTTTCGAGTTTTTTTTTTATTTATTCAAAGGAGGGATGTTTCTCAGAGTCTTAAACTATGTTCATCATCGATCGAGTTTCCACTTGCTGCAATTACGGCCTCCTCTAGCGGCGCCGGTGGTGTAGTGGTAAGCGTGATTACCTCTCACCCCAGCAGGCCTGGGTTCAATCCCAGTCGGCGCCGCTGGGATGTTCTGAGGCATAACATTTCTGATCACGCCTTCCTTCGGAAGGGAAGTAAAGCCGTTGGTCCCTGGTTCATGAGTTGATGGGTCGATAGGTAGGGTCCAGGTGTGGGAGCTGCCTCTCTGGCGTCGGTAGCATTGGTGCTCAGCACGGAAAATAAGATCGACGGAAAACAAATCAAAGGAAAAAAAATACGGCCTCCACACGCTTTCGGAATGCACGGCAGGTTCTAATAATGTAGTCTGGATCCATTTCTCTCCATGTACGGGTCAATGTTTGTCTGAGGCTTGCTGTACTCGGGTGGCGTTTAGAACAGGCCTTGGCTTTCATGACGCGTCATATTGAGTAATCCAGCGGATTAAGATCGGGGCTGGATGGCGGCCACATATCCTTCGCCCAAAACGGAAGATGTTCCTGCAACCTCTGAGTGCGATTCGAGGTGTGGCAAGGAGCCCCATCTTGTTGAAATACAACATTCGGACCGTACTGTTCTTTGATCATGGAAGAACATACTTACTTAAAATCCGGATGTAGACCTCCGTGTTAACCTTATCACCTTCTGGAATGAACACCGGGTCCATTTTTTTGCCATCGGAAGCCACCAATCCAAACACAATAACGCTAGCAGGATGCTTGGTCAGATACACGTTCTTGTGCTCGTCGGCCACGTCTTTTACCGGAAGAGAACTAATATACCGGTTGGTTCTGGAATTTGAGACGGGATCGACGGTAAACATGCTCTCGTCGGTGAACAGGATTACCGGATTTTTTCGCTTAAGGAAGTTCAAGATTTTCTTGCATCGTTCGACTCGTAGCTCCAGGATGCGGTTGGTAATCATGTGAAATTTTTCCGTGCCCTCGACTTCGCCCCGCAATCTTCCTTTACGATCCATAAAGTCACTGATCCCGTGTTCCTTTGCCATTTTCCTTATTGAACGCACTGGATTCGCCCGAATCTTCCTTTTGATAGCAGCGATAACCCTCGGAACCCGAGCTGACCTCGGACGACCTTCGCGGATAGTTGTCCTTTCTTTTCTCGGTCTAAAACCCTTTTGACGGTCCACCGGGACACTCCCACGGCGATTGAAATGTCTTTTTGCGACATTTGCGCCTGGGACAAATCACGAATACGCTGCCACTTTGTCATGGTGCAACTGTCAAACTAAGTAAATCATTTTCTTTTATACACATCCTACTACGGTAAGAGCTATAGGTTACGTGCATGCAAAGAAAACCAAGGCATTGTATGCACAGGTGAAATGGGAACCTTATTTGTACGATGGTGCAAAAATTATCACGCTACACTGTCCTCTGTGAACAATTAACGCAAAACAGATTATATGTAGCTTCCGATAGATGTCACCGCCAACAACAGTAGTGACATCTGATAAAAAAATGAATGCAGAAGCTTGTCAAAATGATAAATTATCTGCCTCGGCAAGCTTCGTTTGATAAACTACGGTCTTCTTTTTTTGCAACTTGTTGCATAAATACCTAGCTAATTTAGAGAGTTTCCATGCATCAAGCAGTTGTTTCTAATAGCCTAATATACAATGCTAGCAGAGAGTAAGTTAACTTTTCCATAAACATTTATTGTTTGTCGGGCACCCTAAATATTTAGTTATTACCCACCCATAGTTCACTCTCCTAGCCAATAATGTTTCACGAGTGCATGTCCATATCGGAATGGTCTACACCACCACCACCGATACCGTTTTGTGGTCGTCGTCGTCGTCGTCGATGGTATGGATGAAGTACTGACCACCCATTGTAACTGATTTGCGGTTCCCTTGTTCTCACGGGCAGCAGCGCGATTTTCATTCAAAGATACGACCCTCAAGCACTCGCAGCTTATCCGGCTCATATGCATATGAAGCCATGGATAAACGAAAATTGCACACCCATTATCTTTTCGCTCATTGAATATGGACACATGAGATGCCAAGCTGTTGGGCGACGAGAGCACGGACGGCTACGTCTGCTACAATCTGACAAAATGCAGCAACTCTATCCAACCCATAGTTGAAACAAGCATGGGAAACACATACAGGTAATGCTGCATGGACCGTCAGTTCTATAGGATATGCCATATGAGAAGGAAAGCTGTGTTTCTCTGGTAATATGAAACATTAAGACGACTCCGGTAGGTTCCGCTATCTCACGCATTTTGCACCCATGGTTCCCATACTGCGGCAATCGCAGTCTGTCCAGTTAATTTGGTCGACATGAGACCACCCCACGGGAGTCTAGTTAGACCAGAGCGCAGACCTAAGTTGTCGGTAGAGTGCAATTACCGCGCGAACATCATCTCGACTGGTCTCCCATCGCAGAGCTGCAGTTGCAACATTAATGATATTACCTTGGCCGTATCCGCTATAATTACTCCCCTAGGTGCCAGAGAGAAAGTGAAAAATTAAAATCTATTTACATATTATGCGAATTCATGCACAGCCAGTTATATTATGGCCGGGGAGATAAGCTGCTTTGCTTCGAAGAACGACGAACGGGCGCCGAGGTTTCCATCAGGGGACGGACGGACGTCAAGCTGGGTTAGTTCCGGGCGGATGAAACTGAAAGTGAATCTGATGTGGTGGCGGTTTGACCGAACCTCCGCTCGGGACTGATGCCAAAAACCTTAAAGCAACCCAACGGCTGAAAACCGCACCACCAGCCAGTGGGGTCCTCGCGGCCAATGGCGCCAGTAGCACCCCGTGTCGCCTCTGCTTCCTCCTCAAGTCGCAAACGCACTCGACAGCAGCGCAGTCAATGACTGCATCAACGTTTTGCGATTATCATAAAGAGATATCTCATTTCCCAGAGCCACACAGCCACGAGAGCACGCTGACTTCGGACTGGTTTCGCACAAGCTGCGCCAAGGGGTTTTGCATCCACGGAGATACGGGCCAGAGCAAACGAGCGAGTTCCGTGTTGGGGGTGGATACTGGGACCGCTGCAGCAGCAGAGCCGGATTTTTCATCGCAACCGGACGGATGAACGTTGACGGAACTTGGTAATATGTGTGTGTGCGAGTGTGTGTGTGTTTGAGAGAGAAGAGAGTGCCCGGTGGAGTGGGAAATATGTGGTAATCCGAGTCTTTCCTTCCTTTCTGTTTGCTTGCTGCTGCTGATACTGCTAAAGCTGCAACGATGACGACCAAATCCCATCCTTGATTCCCTCAAGGGCCCACGGAGAAAAGGAAGAGATTTTGTGCTGAGAGTGCAGGTCGTTTTTTTTCTGCATCTGGTTGTTTGCGTTCCATTTTAATACTCCGTTTGGATGCAACGAAGCGAGAATGGGAACTGATAAAATGTAGCATTGGGAGTGGCAGCGCTTGGTGGAGGACGGCAAACGAGGTTTTTGAAAGTTTTGATCTCATCATCACGAATGCTCGCCAATTCAGACGTTGAAAAGTCAACATAGTTATTAAACCGTTCGCTTACTGTCACTGTGTTGAATTAGCTGACAGTTGTTTTTTTTTTATCAGTTTTTGGAAATTACTAGAAAAGTAATTTGGAAAGTTTCAAAAGTTGGTTGACTACAGATGATTTGGGTTCATATTTTGAAACATTCGTATCGTCACTCCGTAAGCCAAGCTGGCAAAATACGCTGTGTTAGAGCAAAACAAACGTGTAAAAGGTTGTTTTTGGTGTAATTTACAGTCCCTGGATCTGATCAAAGCTTACATCAGAGCCTGGACACCCTAAGTACTACAGCAGCTAGCCAGATGGGGCCTCGGAGGAAATATCCTCTACTTTTTGAAGAATTTCCTGCAGGGCAGAACCTTCCAGGTGACCGTCAGGAACCACCGCTCCAGCACCAGACGGGAAGAGACTGGAGTTCCCCAGGGTTCCGTAATTGCAGTGACCATCTTTCTGGTGACAATGAACGGAATCTTTATGGGACTCCCTAAGGAGATTTACATTCTGGTCTATGCGGACGACATTTTGCTACTGATCATAGAGAAGACTCTGAAGGCCATGAGGGTAAAGCTCCAAGCTGCGGTCTCCGCTGTTGGTCGATGGGTCGCTAGGACTGGCTTTGAGATATCTGCCGAAAAGATCTCAATCTCCCACGTCTGCCGCCTTGGCCACCGATTATTTCCGACACCAATCTATATACATCCTCGGGATCACGATTGACCGGAACTTTCGGTTCGGCACCCACCTTAATGATGTCAGGACTAATTATCGAACACGGTTGAACATCCTCCGCTCCCTCTCCGGGCAGCATAAAACGAGCAATCGTACTCAATACCGCCAGAGCCATTGTTCATAGCCGACTGACCTACGGAATTGAGCTCCTCTGTGCGTCCAGCGATTCGGTCGTCACCCGACTAGCGCCGATATATAACCAGGCAACACGAATTGCGGCTAGACTTCTGCCCTCAACACCAGCCGATACCGCCTGTGTTGGCAGGGTCGGCTTTGGAGTAACTGATGAAAAGACCTCACACTTCTGGAGACTCCCCAATCAATGCTCGGTCTTCTCGGCCAAGACTGCAGACCTTCATTACGCAGCTTCCCTACCATCCTCCTCTCTGCTATGTGTACTACCCAGACAGGACCTGAACATTTGGATCAAGTCCACCCTCAGGACGGCATGGGACGCGAATGGTTCGCTAGGAGAGGCCTCTTCATCCGGAAGACCAAAGGGGTAACCCTTCCCTGGACGGATGTGTGCAAAATTTCATAACAATCGATGTCAAGGAGATCGGCCTGTGTCAATGAGATGTCGTCGAAACAAGAAGAAAATCGCCGGAGAATTTTGCGCGCCGTTATGGAAAATCCGACTGCGACCATGAGATGGATCGGAAGACAACTGGGAATCACCCATACAACTGTGTCTCGGGTGGTAACATCGTTTAAGGAGTCCCAGACGACTGAGTGGCGGGCTGGAAGTGGAAGAAAATCGAAGACAGCTGACCCTGTGAAGGCCCGGAAGGTGTTGGATTATTTCAAGCGTAATCCGAACCTTTCGATTCGCGGCGCGGCTCTGAAGGCAAAGTGTTCCGCCTGGTTCGTTCAGCAAACCATGAAACGAGCTGGGTTTCGTGTATTCAAGGTCCGGAAGGCACCGAACCGGCGTGATCAACAAAACACGGCGGCCAAATCCCGCCAAACCGATGTGTGTGGTTATGGATGACGAAACCTACATCAAGGCAGATGCAAAGCAGATACCGGGGCTGGAGTTCTACGTTGCCAAATCACGGTTTGATGTTCCGGAAGACATAAGGAAGAAGAAAGTGGACAAATTCGCCAAAAAATACTTGCTCTGGCGGTAAACTGAGTAAACCGTACATCACAATGGGTACCATCAACAGCGAAATTTACCGCATCGAGTGCCTCCAGAAGCGTCTTCCTGCGGTTCCACGGAGGCGAGACATTTTTTTGGTTGGACCTGGCATCATGCCATTACGCGCGATCGACGTTGGTTTGGTACAGAGACAATAACGTTGTTTTTGTACCAAAAACCGCCAACCCCCCAAACTCACCAGAGATTCGTCCGCTGGAAAGATTTTGGATCATAATGAAGGCCAAAGTTCGAAAATCGTGGTGTAGGTGCTTAAGAACGAGCTGGAGTTGAAGAAAAAATGGATGAAAGTGACCAAAAAGGTCGGCTCCACCATTGCACAAAATGTAATGAGGGGTCGTAAGGGAAAGGTGTGGGCTTTCAGCGATGGAAAGGAAATTGAATAAAGTAAGTATGCCGAAACATAATCCATATGTATTAGTTCATTCCTTGAAAGTTTCAAGAAAATCCGACTTGATTCGATTTTGGGCGAACACTTTTGTCTGGTGCATTTTTATCGAGCACAGGCTTTATTACAGTAGGCCCGGCATTCCCTGCCGGTAGCGGGTCCCAGGTCTCTCCTGGCAGCTTCTACCGGTGGGGCTCTGCTGGGGTCCTCAAAACAAAACATAAAACACAAAAGATGACAGCAACACCTGACCCCCCCCCCCCTAATGACTACAATTGAACTAATTGTTTAATTCTACTGTGATTTGAGGTGTCATATGATAAGTTTTATTCGTTTGAAGTCGCAATTTGCCAGTGTTTGAAGTTTTCACTGTTCACTGAATAATTCACGTGTATTTCCGCAACCGTTGGACCCCCATGTGCCAGTAAACTAAACTGATTTCATTGAATCGGCGGGACAACGAATCATGGCACATAAAGAAACAGAGAAAAATAAATCTTGCTGCATCGATGATCAAATACGTTCACACAAACGATTTACTACTGACGGTATCATCGAAAGAATCTTTATATTCGTGTGTACCATTCGGCATGGATTGTGTGCGTTAGTTTCTGTTCATGATACATCTGACGGATTTCACGCCAACTCGTCTTCGGAGTTGGCAGCACCCTCTCAGAACCTTATGAAACTTTGTGGGTGTGGAGACTTAGCAATTTTAAGCAACTTTGAGTACTTATTTTTTTCAAAATTTATCTCGCCTAACATTTGATAAGGGTCAAAGTTTTTTGTCGATTTTTTTTTCAAATCGATATAGCTTAAAAATGACAAGCCCTACAAAAAAGTGATGTATGGCGAACTTTTAGCAAATAATCTGAAATTTTATAAAAAAATTAAAATAAAATAAAAAATCGGTTTCTACACTCTAAAAAAATATATTTAAAAATTAAAAGTCATTTTCCCAAAAATGGTATCCCTCAGATTTGCTTGATATTTTTTCTCATGAAAGGCAATATAATTACCTAACTTTTCTTCATACATCACAAAGTTGGCGCTTTTAAGGAAAAAAAAGTTGTTCGAACAACAACTTTTTCATGTTAATTTTTTTTTAGCGTGTTTCACTCAAAGTCGAATAGTAATACGCGCACAACCTTATTAAAATCCGTTGAAACTTAATGAGCATAAAGATTTTGACCTTTTGATAATCTGGGCGTGCTTAAAACAAAAATCTAGCCTAACATTTGAAAGGGCCTAATACAGAGGATTTTCCTGCATTTCGAATGGTGTTTTAATAAATGAAAACTCTAGTGTTTTTGTTTAGTGCATAATTTATTTTCCTATAATTCTCCATACATAATTTGAGTTTTTCATTGATTATTAGTCTATCGGAAACAGAGTGAAATTTTTCGGAGTTTCCTTTGAATGTGAAAATCGCTTAGTAGAAATTATGTTTTGAGAAATAGGTACAAAACAATGAATTTTTTGTGTACCAGGTATAGTTTTTACATGACTAAACAGCTCCTTGAGTTCATCGGACATCTTTGTGTATTGATCATTTGATATGAAGCAGAAGTTCAATTTTGTTATGCTTGTATCTGTTTGTTTAACTGCCCAGTCATACAGTTCTTGTGGAGTTGTGATTGTGTTTCCATAATCTCGAGCAAGACTTGCTCTCTTTGCCATTCGTTTGAGAGTTCCTCCAATTGCGTCACATGGGCCTTTCCCATGAGACGTTGCGAAGAAGTGCCATTCTGCTTCCAATCCATACTTGGACTTGAAGTTGCACAAACTGGCAAAATTCTTTTTATTTTTGTAATGAGCCGCTGCTCCATCTGACATGAAAGTAATTTTTGTGAAACTAATAGATTGTTTCTTTATATGAATCAAATTTTACACTATTAATAATCAATTTAACATTTTCATGTATAGTACAGACACATACATTATGTGTACCTGTACTATCCAACAGTATGCAATGCTTTGGTCGGAGCTGAGTGAACGAAGTAAATCCGATTTAACACTTTTGTATTTCTCTTCAAAAATCATAAAAGCCTCTTTAAGAGACATCATCAATAAACGTTTCTGAACATGCTCTTTATATCCATTTCGATATTCAGAAACATAATCATTACTTCCTGGCATAGGCCTACTAATATCATCACTGTCAAAGAAATTTAAAACAATTTGTTTTTCAGTATCATTAAATCCATGACCACTTCTTGCTTTCTTACTACAAAGAATACCTTGTTCTCTGACTAGCCTTTTCATCTGTTTCACTGTATGATGGGGTGCATTAAACTCATTAACTATTTGATTCACTGACCATGATTTAGGGAGCACTGATAACACTTTTAATTTGTCATTTGTACTCGTAGAAGGCAAATTAAGTTTCTCCTTTAACTGCATGATCATTTCGTCAAAATCATTTGATTTGTTGACATCGTCTGAATCCATCCCAAATATATTTTTACGCACTGCCTTTGTGATCTCTGCAGATTTTTGAACACGATAATTCATACTTCTCATACTTCTCGATGAAATTGGTGATAACTGTAAGGTTGAAGCTATACAATTGAATTGTTCCACATTATATGGACCTTGGATCTGATCCGCTGATGGGATTGATTCTAGCGATGGATCTGTATCTGTAAAATTAAAGAAAAGAAAAAAAAATATTACCACACATTAATATATAACGCTGTTAAGGTGATAGTACCATGAACGGGGGTGGTTTTGATAATAGGGGTAACTTTGGTAATGCAGCTAAGCCAAAAATTTATGACTTAAGGCACATCGTACGCAATATTTTGGATAGGAAACCGATGTTCCCTTCCAAAATAATGAATACGAAGAGCATTAAGTCATAACTTTTTGGATTAGCTGCATTATCAAAGTTACCTCCATTATCAAAGACATCCCCGTTTACGGTACATCGAAGCCGCATCTGAATTTTCCCCATGTTTGTGGAGCACGAGCTGCATAAACCGCATATCGTACAGTCGTGAAAATTTGATAGATTGTTCACCGAGGTTGGCCTACCAATCGATCAAATTTGTACGATAAGCGGTTCATCCAGCTCTAAAAAAATGTTGAAAATGAAGTTGTATCTTCGATGTACAATCCTTAAACCACACAGTTGAAACAGTTAAAGTTATTATTATTTACCTAGTGTATCATCAAATTCCTGATGTTCTGATTGCTGATGACTTGTTGATGGTTGCGGCTCTTCAAACTTCCGAGCATGGCTTGATTCTTTTCCATCCGATCGCCTCTTTTTCGGGAGAGGTGTCCTATTGTGCACTAAAATTCCACGACACGATTCACAAATACGCATTGTTACATCCAATTGATGATCAAAGCCCCATGAATGTATTTTCTCTATGAGACTTGATGATAAATTACGTAAATTATTGCGGCTGCAATTGGGATTGTTTATGTTGGCACTACATTGCACCCTTTTAATAATCAATTCAGCAGATTTTTCCATTGTTGTATATATAAACACTTTTTCGTTTCAACAACTATGCAGCACTACACTTTCAACAACTATGCACTACAGCAACTATGAGCA